TCAGTCGGGGTGGGACCTGGGGCACTTATCCCAACTGGGTACCTCCCTCCTCCCTCGCCCATTCCCGCTTGCATCCCAGCACAGGGAACCTCCTCTAGGAAGCCTTCCTGACAAAGCCCTCCCTGTTTACAATCCATGCCCAACTAAGCCCCCCAGGCCTCTCTTTTTGCAGCAGCATCAGACAGTCAACCCTCAGTCCCAGGGGCAGCCATTCCAGTGTGACATCCAGAGCAGTGAGTCCCAGCACTCCCTGCTATCCTGTAAATTGGAGAATTGACTAGTAGCATCGGTTGAACCAGACTATCTGGAGGGAGAAGTCTGTACCTCACCCTTTGGCATCAAAATGAATAAGTGTGTGTGATCTGAGATCAGCTGTGTGATCAGCTGGCTGCTTGTTATCTGTTTGTCTCAGGTTATTTCTCTCTCAGCCCCTTCCACCCCATGGAGGCTCCAGGGTTGACCGTGTGAACAAAAGGCTGTGGGGTTAGCAGTTACTAGCTCTTTGGTTCCATAAGGGGAAGGCTAATGACTCAAGCTGAAGCAGAACAGCTGTTTGGTAGACCAAAGGAAGAACTTCCCAGTGGTCTAGGTCAGGAAGCAAGAGACCGATGTACTGGGGAGGGGCACCAGATCAGTGACATGCTCACCTCTGGCCCCCACTTCTGCATATGGGTCTGGGCTAGGAAGGAGCAGGCTGGCTCAGAGGCAGGAGGATGGGAGCAATGACCCCCAAGGAAGAGGTTGGTTGGAGATCAAGCTAATGAGCCTTCCTCCTGCTCTGGGAGCCATTTGCTAGAAGCCCTGCCCCACCAGGCACCTCTGGAGCCAGCAGGGGTGCCAGGTGGTTGGTAGGGGAATGAGACTCACTTACAACCAAATCTGGAGGTCAAAGCTTGAGCCACTTCCACCCTGTTCCCCACCATTGCTCCTAGGCACCCCCAGGCATGGCTCCTCAGCAAGAACAAAAAGAGGGGAGTAGGGGATGGCCAGGGGAAGTGGAGAGTTTTAGGAACTGGCAGACTCCCTGTGAGGTAGCAAAAGGATGGGCTACTCAGGGGTTAGTGGAGACTTCAGTGCTATCACAGGGGTGGCTCAAGAAGGGCTTGATCCTGCTTCCACCCTAATCCCCTCTAATGGCCAAGGCCCTGATGGGGAAGCCCTATGTCTCCTACACATAGCACCTGACCTGACAAAGATTTTGTGCCCAAGAGGGCCTGGGACAAACTAGGCTATAGGCACAGGATGATCCAAGCTATAGGCAGAGAGGAAACTGGGCAGTAGGAAGGGAAATTAGGCTGTGGAAATGCAAGAAACAAGGTGTGGGGAGAATATGACAAGGAAGAAACCTACATGCAAGCAGGGAAGAAGCAAGGCTAAGAGCATTACAGAAATCAGACTGCAAGTTGAAAGAAACAAGATAGCGAGAACAGAAAGACAGGCTGTAAAATAAAATTAGGCTGCAGCCATGGGAAATACCAGGCTCCAGGCAGTAAATAAGAAAAGATGTGGGGGAAACTGGGCTGCAGGTACAGAAAGCATCAGGCTGAGAGAATGGAAAGCAGGCTTGCAAGAAGTTGGGCTATGCGTGCAAGGGGAAGAGAATTAGAAGCAAGGAGTAGTGTCAATCAATAGTGAAAGATGTACAGTGCCAGATGGATACTAGACTAATCAGAGGGATTACTTTGTAATTTATATAAATGTCTAACCACTATGCTGTACACCTGAAACTGATATAAAATAATATCAAATGTCAACTGTAATTGAAAAATCAAAAGCGGGGGGAAGGTAAAGAGGAATAGGAGGTTAGGAGGTTCAAAATTACAGGTATAAAATAAATAAGTCATGGGGATGTGGGGTACAGCACAGGGAATACAGTCAATAATATTGTGAGAGCATTGTATGGTGTCAGATGGTTGCTGAACTGATCATGGTGATCACTTCTTTAGGTATATAAATGTTGAATAACTGTGGTGTACACCTGAAACTAATACAATATTGTATAGACCCATGGGTGTGACAGGAATGATGGTTCCAGTCAGGGTGTGGAGAGAATTGCGGGAACTGAGGAATTCAACTCAGGCAGTGGCTCCTTGAGAATATGAAAAAACCCTCAGCCTCTGCTTCCTCAAGTTCTCGTGTGCGTGGCATGTGCGTGACATGAGCTTGGCTGAGATAGGAAGGTTTGGAAGGAGGGGGGTGTCAGTTAATGTAATCTTCTTTGGTCCCCAAGGACTTCATTTCTAATCAAACAGCTCATGTTTCCAGTATCTCTGAGGTATGAGGTCACTGGCAGAGAGGCAAGTTCACCCCTTGATGCTCAAAGACCTCTGCTGGAACCAAGATCTTCCCAGACTGTGCGTTTCCCAGGTGCCTCAGGGTTTTTAACAATGCAGAGACCCCCAAGACAAGGCTTGGCTGTTTATATATCCTGCATGCCAGGGATTGTCCCAATTTCCTGTTGCTCCATAAACTGACAAATACCAAAATAACCAACACCTCAGTAGCCAAAACACACCTTCCCAGAGCTTCTGTCAGGTAGAGGTGCCAGCCGCCACCATGGAGAGCACCACTTACCCCTGCACTGATCAATCCCTCGCTGTGGAGTCTTTGATTTCTCTACTTCAAGGAATAAAAAGCTTGAGCTTTGATGCTAACAAATCTGGGTTTGAATCCCAGATTACCATCTAGAGATGGCCTTAGGCAAGTCACTCATAGCCTGCTTTCTCACCTGTGAAATGGGAATAATACCCCTCCTCCTGGGACAGTAGTGAGATTACATGTCCCAGTATGAGAAGGGTGGTTCACCAAGCCTCTTCACCAAACATTACACCTTTCCTTTTTCTAGCTCTCCTGCCTTTCTCCTCTGCATGCCAAGGGATCAGCCACTGCTTTTCCAGGTGCTTTAGTCATCTGGGCTTGGTTTGCTACAAGAGGCTAAGTGCCCCCAAAGGGAGGAGGCCAGGGAAATAACACCCCAGAACCCAGGGGGACTGACTGGAGGAGTGGACAGGCCCAGAAATAAGGATGTGATCATAGAAGAAGGCAAAGAATAGAAGAGGCGGGATTCCTCACAAGGGTCATCAAGAGCCCAGGCAGCATTAATAGAGGTATAATGTGCAAAGAAAGGGAGATGAGGATCCTGCTCTATCTGCTCTGCTCCCTCCTTGGCAGCTAGGCTTGTCGACACTGGTGGGGGTGGCTGTGAAAAATTAGGCTAGTCCCCTGGGCTTGAGAACACGTTTCTGTTGCCTGTCTCTGCAGGGCATCTATGCTCTATGGTCCCCAAGACGCAGCTAGACAGGGGTGTCACAAGAGGCAGATTCTCAGCTGAATCTGTCAGAAGCACACTTCGAGGGCTAGGGCAGCCTTGAGGAAGGAGTGGATGAGCCCCCCTCTCCCAAGGGTGTGCAAACAAGGGCTGGCAACTGGCCTGGGAGGCGGACAAGGAATCCCTACTGCAGGTCAAGAATGTGCCAAGCTTCTGTAGCCTCTGTAGCTTTACCCTGGCACTTTAGGAACAGGACAGTAGCAAGGAGATTCTGATAGCCCTGGAACTCTCTCCAGGTTTGAAAAGAGAGGTGACAGGAGATGAGGCTCAGAGCTCTAATTCAAACCTAGAGGCCTTCATTACTGGTTCTACAGCTTCTACGCTGAGTTCTTTGGAAAATTCTAGAGCATCGTACTGATGTGGGACTCTATCTTGGGGAAAGGACTCTGGGACAGGTGTGGGAATAAAGGGCAGGATCCTAGTGGCAAGGGGGCAGGGAACCATGCCTGGAGATGGTCAGGAGCTCGGCTGTGTCCCCATGCTCCCACCAGGCTCGCTTATCCCCAGGTGGTGTAAGGCAGCTGGCAGGTGGCTCACAACTACTCACGGTCTCAGGGGCCCCGCTCCACGGCCTCTGGCTCTGTTCGATAGAGGATCAGGGTTACAGAAGGAGCCCCAGGTCTACAGCCAGGACAGTGTATGTTGTGGTGTGTGATGGGATATTGTATGTATGTGCAAAAGATATTGGAGGAAAGGTGCTAGGATGCAGTCTGGTCCAGGAGGACACCCAGCATGTGGACAGAGTGGGCATGGAGTGGGACAAGAGGGGGTATGACCTGTGAAGTGCCAAGACATGCATGGGTCACAATTTGAAGCTGTCATCATGTTGTATGTTCTTGAAAGTACCATGACAAAGCACAGCTTAGAAAGCACGTGCTTGATGTCATGACATCCAGGTACCAGGGTCTAGTGGGGTTATAGGACACAGCAGGTGGGTCTCTTGAAAATCTTCAGCTCTCCCCACTGCTGTGCTGGCCCAAGACCCCGTAATGGGGATGCTCCCACTGGCAAACTCCAGGAAATCTTTGTGTATGGGTGTCTGCGCACACTCAGGTGTAGGTGCCCATCTCAAGGCAGGACTCAGCAGGGCCACTTACCCGGATCTCCTTGTAGAGCCGCAGGCAGCTGCTATTGAGTATGAAATAGCGATCGTGGAAGCCACCTGAGGGTAGGCCCAGGCCCAGGAGGCTGCGGTCCTCGCGGAACTTCATCATGCCATGTTTGGTGTCGCCTACATGGCTGGCTGGGGAAGAACTGGAGTAGGCATGGGCTGCACCAACACTCTACCCATGAACTCAGGGTAGGGTCCTAAGATGAAGGATAGTGCTCCATCCCGCCCCGACCTCTGAGGAGGCCTGTCCACCTGGCACCCACTGCCTGAGCTGCTCCTGCCCAGTGGCACTAGATGGTAGAATCCACCAACCTGGTTGGCCCTGAAGGCATCATCTACCCAGTTACACCACCCACCCAGGTCACCACTTACCCAGGTACAGCAGCATAGCCTCCATGGACTGGTGCTTCTTCACCACCAGGTAGCTGTCTGTGCCTAGTCCATGCAGGATGGGCAGCACCTTCTCCGCAAAGTGCAGGGGACGCTCTAGGGAGAGGTCACACTTACTGTCACCAGGGCCACATAGGGCTGGGACATAGACATAGATCACACCTATACATCCATTGGCACTATCTACTCCCACCAACTCTTCACACCACCACACATCACACCACGACCACTTTCCCACACCCAAGCTTCAGGTTTAACACACCCTGCTGGAACCAAAGCTGCTCCAATCCAGTGTGTCCAAAACCGAGCCAGTGAGCTTCCCTGTGTTCATGAGGGAACACAGCCCCATCCACCAGGCCACTTCAGCCAAAACCAACCTTTCTCCCTCTCAGCTTCCCTCCACAGGTCAAATCTCTCTGCTTCTGTCCATCTCCATTGCCGCCTCCCTGACCACGTTACCATCTTCTTAAACTAATACTGTGGCCTTCGAAGTGGTCCCCTGCGTGTGCTCTCACTCTCCTCTTCCTTACATCTCTCCGCCCAGCAGCAAGGAGCCATCTTTTGAAATTCCCAATCACTAACCCTTCACTGGCCTTGCACTGTTGTCAGGCACCAGGTCTCAAGTGGCTGCTTCTTCCTCAGTCTCAACCCCACCTGGTGCCACAACCCCCTCACGGCCCTTTTCTCAAGCCCCTTGAAAAGGCACTGTCTCTGGCCACCACAGGGCCTTTGCCTATGCTGTTCCCACTGCCTGGTACTTTCTCCCTGCTTCTCCAAGTAATTCCTACTCTTCCTTCACCTCCTAGCCGAGGGACCTCAAAACCAAAGACCCTGTTATAAGTTCTGGTGGCATGGTGGCCCTTTTCTACACAGCAGCCAACACAGCTGTAGTTGTATGTTTATTGGTGTAATCGCAGAATTAATGTCTCTATTCCATACCAGACTAACTCCCAAGAGAGGCAACTGTGTGTCTGGATCCCCAACCCAGTGCCTGGCACTCAACAAATAAAGGGAGAATAAATAGAGATACCCTCGTCCTCCACTGCCATCAAGACCATCCTTTGTGCTAAAATGCCTTTATCAACCCCTTCACCACCATGGCCGCTTCACAACACCATCACAATCATCTTTACCCAAATCTCCACCACCACCATCACTCTACCCCACCTTTCTTGCATGGTCTTCACCACCCACTACCCCTTTCACCACAAAGAAGGTAACCCACAATCCCATTATCAGATTCAGTATCATCACTCTTGCAAGCAACACCATTTTCACTGACACCTGAGAAAGCATCATCATAGCTGATACCATCTACCTCCTTCACTATCCCTCCCGTCAGCCACATCACAACTTCAATACCCACTAGTACACTGTTACTACCATTACTGAGATCACAATGTCACAGCAATATCTGTCAACCAAAAATCCCTTCACCACCACTGTCCCCACACTTAGGGGACACACTGAGCTACAGCCCAGACAAGAACAAACTGGCACCATACTCTGCACCAAACTCGGTGGTCACTCACCTATCTCCTCCCTCTCATTGACTTCAAAGCAGGTCCAATAGTCTTTCTCCCTGATGCCCACATTCCTGCGATCCAGGATCTCTAGGGTGAGCTCTTCAGCTGTCATAGACGCTGGGATCTGTGATGATTAAGGAGGAGAGATCAACCTACCCCATCCCCTGCTCCTGCTTGTGCCATAAACTTGCTGTGTGATCCAGAGGGCTAAGTCAAGCCCTCTCACGGAGTCCTAGGACGCGAGGAGATGTTTCTGAGTGGTCCTGATGAGCTTGGTGGTGAAGCAGGGAGGAGACAGGCCCAGCACCAGCCAGATGCAGGTCTCGAACCAAGGCTCCCTTTGGGATGAAAGCCCTGCTCCTGCAGCCATCTGAGCCTGAGCTGGGCCCAGCCTGACTCTTCTAGCCCTTTGGCTTCTAGGTCCCTGGCCCCCACCTTGATATGCTGCTCAGCCTCTGCCTTCTTCTCTTCCAGATATACGGTGCAGATGAAGTCACCAGCATGCTGTTAAGGAGATAGGGCACAGCTAGAGGCCTGGGGGGTAGGTGTAGGGGCTGGCCTAAGCCCCCTACCCCAGACCCTGTTCTTCACCTGGGTCCCACTGGCAGTGCCAGCCACACGCATCTTTACAATGGCAGTGATCTCCTCCCGCTGCTTCCTCAGCTCCTCTTCGTCCACCTGGGAAGGAACAGATGATTACTGCCGCCTAAGAGGCTCAGCCCTGCCCTCCACCACCCACTGGCTAGGAACGCACACTAAACACCACCACATAGTGGCTGATGAGGTCTTCCACCACATGGCCAGCCTTATAGTCCTGTCCATCTGTCTGGAAGAGTGTAGGCCCAAACACAATGGCCAGGTTGTGCGTGTTCATCTGGTTCGTGTCTGAGAAGCACTGGACGCTGGACAGAGGAGGACGAAAGCTTTGAATAAGGAATGTGGCCAGAATTTCCCCCATCTTCTTGATTCTTGACAGGTCCACGACTGGACCCTGGAGTGAGGCCAGTAAAAGTCTTAGTTAAAGGGAAGTGGGGACAGTCTGGCCATGTCTTGGGTCCTGGGGAAGAGTAGCTGGAAAGCTGGGAGACCTGGCCAAGGTCTCCCAGTCTTTAGCTGAAACCTCCTCTATTCTCCACCTGCAGGAAGTAAGTTGTGAGACAAATCGTCCAAGATTAGGACACATCAAAGTCAACATTCAGTTCTTAGGCCTACCGGGTTCCCAGTGGAGGGCAGTCAGCAGGGCTAGGAGTAGAAGAACCTTCTCTACCCCATCCCCCCAGAGCCTCGAAATAGTATCACTTCTTACCAGTACAGGTGGCTGATAAGGGCCTTCACCGTGGCCCGGTTGACTGGGGGCAGATGTGCCAGGAGCTCTCGATACCTGGAGACCTTCTCTTCCTCATCCTCAATCTCTGGGTAAGGGAAGACAGATCAAGTCAGAATATCCCTCGACCTCCGTAACTGCCTCCCCTCGCATCCTAGGGAACAGTACTCCCTGCCCCCCACCAAGTCAAACCTGCAAGGCACTCAGGAGACTGGCTGTGTATAGAGTGATAATGAAAATGAGAAATAGAGGAGGGAGGGCGACTGGAGACTGTTCACTGGGGCATGCCTAGCCCAAGTATATAATGGGGAGGATTGGAATCCTGAGATAGGAGTGGACAAGTCAGCAGCACTAGCTTGGATGGCTTGGACCTCAGGCTGGGCACTGGCTGCAGGGCCCACCTGAGGCCTCTAGCCAGGCAAGGCGCTGGGCTTGAGTGAAGAGCCCGTCTGGCAGGTCTCGCAGGAAGCGTTTGAGCGCCGAGGAAACGTCGTCCACATGCTGCTCACCCTCCTTGAGGCGCACAGAGCGAGCATCCTGCCTCAGGCTCTCTAGCAGCCGCTGTGTCTTTGATGTCTGCCCACACTTGCGGTAGATGCCCTCTGAAGTCAGGCCTGGAGAAGAGTGGGACTGAGCTGGGGGCGGGGCCAATCTGGGAGTGGGACAAAACTGAAGAGCTGAAGGCATGGGTCATGGGGTAGGGTCTTGCAGCCACTTTCAGAGGGATCTTGAGAAAGGGAGGTTTGGCCTCTGGAGCAGGAGGCAAAGGCCTCTCGGGACAGGACGGGGACTGTACCACGGGGGTAGGGCTCACCGCACTGCGTGATGTAGTCCACACAGCGGTACACAATCACTGGGATGTCCGAGTCACCCAGCTGCTGCTCTGATAGCGTGTCCCCTGAGCTTGCCGCTGCTTTCTGGATGGCCCCCAGCCAGCCCGCAAAGTCCAGCCGCCGCTCTCCCTGGATATACAGCGTCCTGGGCAGGAGACAGGTCAGTTAACTTGGGGGCCCTCCCCTGTCCCACCCCTCCTACAGTCATGTCAGACTGCCATAGGCTTTTCAGAACCCCTCAGGCCAGGGCTCACCTCCTTCGCTCCACCAGCACCAGCACCTGGTTCTCGTTGTCTCCTTGGACGGCTGTGGAGGGGCTGAAGTGAGGCCCAGGCCTTGTTCATAGTCCCCAACCTGTTCCTTCCGGAGCCTCTCTGGGTACACACATCCCTGGGACCCACCCAACACATGGGGTCGTTGAGATGCACCCCAAGGGCAGGAGAGAATGTTCAGAGGGCAGGCTGGCTACTTTTGGCCAGGCCAGGATAGCATCCAGACTTCCAGGGAGGGGCTGGGGGACTGGGAGTCCAGGATAGGGTGCCCTGGAGGTTGGGGGACCAGGTCTGGGTCCACGCACAAAGCTCTTGCAGTTTCCGCAGATGCAATGGCTCCTCGCAGGCCCCCTCTGGGAAGATGGCACGGAGCTCAGAACCAGTGAGGGAGAACCAGCCCTCCTGGGCCCGCTGTAGGCTCAGGCCAGCTTTGTAGGGTAGGCGCCCAAGGCGATCAAAATCCCGGGCCAGCAGTTCCTCAGCCAGGGGAGGCACAAATGCCTGGTAGGGGAGGCGGGAGACCGCATCAGCCAACACCACCACCTTTCTGGACACCCCTGTCCTTGGCTTGTGGGTACTGCCCTCTGCGTACCCCCAGCTGCCTCCTCTCTCTTCCCCAGGGCGGAACCCTGCAGTGAATGAACTCAAGTACCATGCCCCATTTCACACCAGCTGAGATGTGCCCTTCTCTGGAAAACCTTCTCAGCCACCAGAGAAGGATGTCCCTTCTCTGTGCCCCATGGCGCCAAAACATTCTTGCCCTCTGTTGTAGCACTGATTATACAGTTGCTCTCTGTACCCGATCTGTCTCCCCCACCAACATGGAGGATAAAGAAGAGCCAAGACCAAGACTGATTCATCTGGGTCCCCAGGGCTCTGAGGACCAACAATCAGGAGCCCCACAGAGGATTTATCAATGAACAAGTGAATGATAAAAGAGTAATAGGCCCTCACAGAACAGGGGACCCCAGAGGGTACCCGGCTCTAATCCCCAGGGCAGAGCTCTCCTCTGCAGGCTACCTACCTCCTTCCTCCAGAACAAGGAGCTCACTCCCCCTGGAGGCAGCACTGTCTATCCTAAGATGGCTCTGTAATTCATTATTAAACATGTATTGAGCACCTATGGAGTGCAAGGTCTATAGGCCTTCTTCCACACATTTGAGAAAGATCTCCTGGATCTCCCCACACAGGGCTGCAAATTATGTTAGGCTCTTGGCCTGAGAGCCTGTCCTGTGTCAGCTACCCTCTATTCTGGGAGAACTGGGACATGAGATCTGCCAAAAGGTCCTACCACACATCCTGTAGGACTCCCTCCACTTCTGCCTGCTAACCCAGTCCTACCTTAGCAATGCACTTGACCCACTCATGAGCCAGCTCCGCACTCTCCAGCCCAAACAGGTATAGTCGCTCTCCCTCCGTGTACACCTCAAAGGTGTGCTCAAAGCTGTAGATACATAGGCCAGGATTCAGGCCCACCCCCTCAAGCCCCAGCCCCTCCATCACTGTTGTTCTCTGAACCCCACTCCCAACTGTCCCCATATGAGTGCCCTTCACCTAGCCCCCTAAGAATTAGTGGGAAATCCCTAGGCTGGGGCCTCAGGAGACTGGTTCAGCCCCTATACAGCCCCAGCTGGCTATGTGACCCTGGGGAGGCCCTGCCCGTCTCTGGGCCTGTTTCCCTGTCTTCCCAATGGGGATGGAGAGTTGGACCTTACAGCAATAACAGTCTGTGATTCTACCCAGGGGTGCTCACCCGTGGGTGTCAGGAAGGGGCACTGCCAGGCACACAATCTCGCTGGCCCGAATCTCCCCGTTGGGGGTCACTGCCCGCTCATTCTCATAGTAGCTCAAGACCCCGTCACTAAGGACACACCAGCGTCGGCTGAACTCTGGGGAGAAGTTGGGCAGGAGAACCATGAGGGAGCCACCCACCCTCACCTGAACACCACCTCTGCATCCTCCCTGAGCCCCCACTCCCACCTGACCCACGTCCTCTTCATTCTAACTCAAAAGTTTTCCCCAATTCCACCCTCCTCCCTATAGCCCCACCCCCCCAGCCCAGCCCATGCCTCTCCCCAGACCACTGCAGCAGCCTCTTCTTTGTTCTTGCTTTTTCCAAGATTCAAAAGTACTATAGCAAAACCAGACCCTGTCCTTCCTCTGCTCAAAACTCTTCCATCACCCTCCCCACCCCTGTCTTTGAGACAAAGTCAATGCCCCTCAGCCTAGCATTCAAGACTCTGCTGGGTCTGCGCCTTCCCACCTCTTCAGGCCCCTCTCTGACCACTCCTGGGTATATACCCCACCTCTCTGCTTTTACTCATCTTGTTCCCTCCCCTCCATCCTTCAGGGCCCAAATGCCATAGGAAGCCTCTCATGTGCCCCGCTCTCCCTCCTGTGCCCCACGCTCCTTTGCCAGCAGTACCTAATAATCTATACTCTGCCTCCTCCTATGACTCTGAGGAGACTGACAAGATTTTATAAAGGAACAGAAATAGGAATCTGGGCAAGAAAAGGTAAGAGAAAGAATAAAAGGTCAAAGCCATGCAGACTTGTGTAATTCATAGCACTGAGCTTCACACTGGCTCAGGGCTTCCTGGCACCCAGGGCAAAAAGGATGACTCAGGCAGTTACATAAATGACATTATCAGGCAAAGGGAGGTAGACTGGGATGGTGCCCCAGTGGCAGTGAGGAGATCCACAGAGTTCCAAAAAACTCTCTCTGGGAGTTGGAGGGCTTCATCCAGAGGTGCTGAAGGATGCAGTGAGCAATATTCTCACAGCAGACACTGTTTCTTGTCCTATCTACAAGGACATGACATTGCCCTCTGAGGGTAGTGTGTCCCAGAGCCTGCCACCTAGGCTGGGCTCCCTCCAGGAGAGCCAGCCCTGCTTCAGTGACTCTTCATCCTGCAGACATTTGCCAAGTACCCACTGTGTGCTAGGCACTGTTCTAGGCTCTGGGGGCTACAGTGGTAGCTAAGAATAGCTTATATTTCAGTGGAGCACAGAGAATCAATAGACAGACCTATAAATAATGTCAGATAAATGGTATGAAAGTAGGGTAAATAGGGCATGCTATTTTGGATAACATGGTTGGGGATGGAGTCTTCAAGGAGCGACATTTAAAGGGAGACCTGACTGAAGTGAGAGACTGACCATGCAAATTAGGGAAATGCATTTTGGGCAGAGGGCACAGCGAGTACAAAGGCCCTGATGGGAATGAATATGCATGTGTGAGAAACAGCAAGGAGGCCAGTAAGGCTGGAGTAGAGTGAGTGAGAGGAGATGGGTCAAAGAGGTAATGAGGTGGGGTGGTGATGTGGAGGTCCTTGTGGGATTTGGTAAGAACTATGGATTTATTGATAATTGGGGAGCAAGTGGAAGGCTGAGATGAAAGAAGAATGGAACTCCAAGCTTAGTCCTCAAATTTCCTAGCATCTACCTGCTCCAAATACCAGATGTCCAGCACAGGGCCCACACCCAATAGCTACTCAATAAAGGCTTCTTTAGTCTAAAGGAAACTGGCAGTGACGTGCTCTGCAGTGCTGTGCCCCACTCCCATCCTGATCAGCCCATTTATTATGTACTACTGTGTAACAGAGACCACATCCAGAAAGCCCTCCAGAGTAACTCTGCCCCAGTGCACATGGCACCCTTGTGGGTCCACCAGCCTGGCCAGCCCTGGCTTCTCTGGCCCTGCCACCATGACAGAATGCTACCTTCCTGGGCACCCACCTTCCCGGGCACGGCGGTCCTGCAGTGGCTTGCTGGCGGAAGCGGTCTTATAGAGGAAGCCGCTGTGGCTCACAGTTGGCAGGACAATTGAGTAGTGCTTTTCCAGGGGCTTCATCAAATCCAGCCGAGATACCTCTTTTGGGAAGCAGGGGATGAATGGCTAGTCATGCTTGTCATCCAACAGTGCCTCCCCTCTCCCTCACCTGGGTTAGGCATCCAAGCTTGCATTTAAGTCACCAGTCCTGGCTCCCCTGACTAGCACCCTCAGGCTCTCACTGCTACATCCAGGGTTATATCCCAGCCATTCTCTACCTCTCCCTATGTGTGTCAATCCACCCTGCTCTCAAGGCCTGGCTCTCATACCTCCCCTTCCAGGAAGCCTCTCTAACTCCTCATCCCAGCCTACCCCATTCTCCCTGTTGAGACACAGAGCCAGAACACTAGAATGAGGGGGGCTGTGGGCAAACTCGCTAACAATCCCCAGAGGAAGGTTTATACCAGATGATGCAAAGCCAAAGGAAGCAGCCTGGCTTCAGCCCCGTTCCTAGCAGTCCCAAAGCCCAAGCCAGCTGGGTGGTCTTCCGTGCCTCCCTGGACACCTGGGCTCTCTCCAGCCCAGCACGCCCCACCCACCCATGGCCCTGAGCCCAGAGCCCCAGCCTCGGAGCTCCACCCTCAGTCCTGGGATATGGCCCCAGAGGCCAGTCCTGGGCCATAATCAACAGTGCTCACCCCCACCGCCCCCCCCGACCCTGAAAGTGGGAGCCAAATAGGATCTAACCTCAGTCTATGACAGAGCCCCACCCAGATAAAGCAGTGAACAGGGCTGCTGTGGTGGGTTACCCGCACACAAAGAAATGCAACACACCCCACAACAGCAACAAAGACACACTCTGCACACACACAAACCCCAAAGCCCTTAATACCCCCAGATGCAAGGAAACAGATTCACAGCAGCTCAGAGATGCACAGACACTGGCACACAGATGCCACACTGAGCCCACATTATAGGTCAGGGAGAGACCCACAAATACACAGAGATGCTGAGACAGAGACACTAAGGGACATACATATGAAAGGGGAAGCCAGATGTGCAAATAGACACTGACATGCAAACTCAAACACACCTAAAACCACACACACTGCTGCACCAGGGCCTTTAAGGAGCTACAATTACAGCCTAAGCAGTATGTAATCAAATCTCACAGGGTGATATACAGCCTTGCCAGACTCCCAACCAGCATCCTTTCCAAAGGGCCAGACCCCAGAAGCAGGGAGGCCCCATCCCTCCAGGTGGACAATAAAACTAGTCACTCACCCGTGGTCCGGTTGTTCCGAAGGAATTCCATCTGCAGTGCCTGCCCTGCCTGCTCGGCAAGAGCTAGAGGTGTGGGGGCCTCAGGGTCCCCTGAGAAGCAGTTGACCCCAGCGCCACAGCCCAGGAGCGCCTGGGTCTCAGCCAGGTCTGTGGTGGTGACTGCGGCACACAGGGCCTGGGCAGATGAGAGAGGAGGTGGGGCAGGGTCAGTCCAAGCTGGAATGAGGGGCCAGTGGAAAAAGCAGGGTGGAGGAGAGAAGGAAGAAGAGGAAGGAGGCATCTAGGTCTGGGGGCCAATTTTCAGGTTTAAAGAGAGATGAGAGAGAAAGAAAGAGAGAGGAGAGGAGGAAGAAGAGAAAAGCCAAAGATATGAGGGGAGGGAAGACAGGCAGGGGCTACCCAGCAAAGGCCAGGGGTCCCAGGAGCCCAGGTCTCACCCCTGCTGGTAGCCAGCCCCCAGGACCCTATCAGCTGCCAAGCCTGTTCTCTAGAGGATCTCAAGCTCCCTCTGCCTTGTGGAAGGACAGAGGGGGGTGCTTGTAGCTAATTCCTCCCACATTTGAATTCCTCACTGCCTGCCCAGCCCTCCTGACCAATGGGAGTTGCCGCCCCTTCTGGCCAGCAGGCTAGACTGGGCTGGGCTGGGGGCTGGACGCCTGGGTTCCTGGGAGGTGGAGGCCTGCCTCCCACTGGGCTTTTAGCTGGACTGAGCTTGCCTGGGTGGGGCTGCTTGGGGGAGGGACTAAAGGACGACCAGAGGTCACAAGTGGCATCCCCCTGCCTTGGAGCAGGCTACTTCCCACTCCGGCAGAGCCAGACAGGGGCCCAGGGCTTGGCTCCCAGCCTGTCAGGGCTTGGGGCCCATACTGGGCCTCAATCTTGAGTAGGGTGTGGATGGGGGTGGGTCAGAGCGACCAGCTGTTTTTTATGAGCCTGACAGGAAATAGCATCCTCATCAACTTCACTCCTTTTGGCAGGATTCAGAAGGAGCAGGACAGGGTGCAGGAGACAGAGGAATTAGCAGGGGAGGGAGGCAGACAGATGCTGAGTGCGTGGCCTTGGCCCAAGGGTTAGGCTTAGCTCCTCTTTGCTTTTCCCCCTCTCCCTGTGGCTTAGGCAGGGCCCCTATACCCTCTGGGCCTCAGTTGATCCATATGCCAGCTCATCATCAGGATGAGTGAGGATGGTGAGGAATGTGGGGACAGAAGAAAACGGGTGGTCTCAAGGGTCCTGACAGTATAAGGAAATGGGGGCACTCTCAAGGGGCCCCAAAGACCCAGTGACCTGACCTTGTCCAGTTCTTCCTGGTTGCCAAAGAGTGGGTGGTAGCGGCGGTACTTGCCCTCGAGGTATTTGGCCTCCAGGTGGCGCCGCCGGGTGCCAGGGCTGCTGCTGGGCTGCAGGGCTTCACTGGGGGGCACACTGGCTGCCCAGAAGCGGTTCCCGGCACCATTGCCTAGCTGTAAGAAGAGCTGCGGGTGTGGGTAAGAGGTTAGAGGGGCAGCCTATGACCAGGGGCCTGTGCCCTGCAAAATCTTGATTTCGAGGTTATTAAGTGAGGGGCTGGGAGAGCCAGGCCACCTGTCTACTTTCCCATTGGGGAAACTAGAGGTGTATACTTATTGGTGGCCTTGGGTACTCTCCCACCAGCCTGGGCCTGAGCCCAGTTTCTCAGCTCAGTGACAGGACAAGTAGAAGACAGTCTGTCAGGTGGATGCCCCAGGCCTGGCTCCTGGTTGGGGGTTTTGCTATTTCCCCACACAGTCCCACATCTGGAACTCTGCATTCCTGAAGCTATCGCAGCTGGGGGCGTGGGGGGCGGGGTTGGGAAAGGGCAAACTTGTCAGTCAATTGGGTGTGCAAGGATTTTGGAAACATTTCCTGTCCCTGACATTTCTCTAGGGTATTCCACAGGGGCTGAGCCTGCAGTTCCACCCTGCACACCTCCAAAATCCAGCCACATACTCTTACTCCTGGCACCAAAGGACTGAGCCCAGCAAACATCACCTGGGCTCCTGCAGGGGAAGAGGAGTGAAGGCAAATCCTGGGGAAGCGCAGGGGTGTAGCATTCGGGGGACTAGTTTATTCATTCTTTCATTCTGCTGATTATCTGTTCCACTGTCATTTCCTGGGTGCCCCACCTTGCCTCTTTTGTCAAGTCCTGTGTAGGGTACTGGGGTCATAGCAGAGAACAAAGTGGAAACAGTCCTTGTCACCACTGACTTACTCTGTGACTCTGGGCAAGTCATTTTCTCTCCCTGGTCCTCAATGTCCTCATCTGTAAACTGGGGATTCTAACCCTAACTCTGAGATGTGACACCCAAATTGCTCTGGAGTCTGCAGCTTGGTTGGGGCAATCAGTAAGGCCCTGTGTGGTCAGCCCCTGAGTCCAGCCTCCTGTTGCAGGTTCTCCCTGCAACTACCACACATCAGTAGCTAGAAACTCCAAGTACAGAGGCAAAGATGTACATATATGTGTGTCCCTGAAGGTATCGAATATACTCATACCCACTGGTGCATCTGAGTACAGATGAAATGAAGTAAATATTTTAGGTTTTGCAAGACACAAGGTCTCTGTTGTAAATATATATGCATATGTGTGTGTGTGTATATATATATTTTATATGTGTATATACATACATAAGTTTTACATATGTATATATATTTTGTGTGTGTGTGTGTGTGTGTGTGTGTGTGTGTGTGTGTGTGTGTGCGTATTTCTTTTTTTTATAACAATGCTTTAAGACTGTAAAAACATTTTAGCTTACTGGGTAGTTTCCTGACTTTGCCAAAAATCGGCTTTTCCAAAATCCACATCTACCAGATGATCTCAAAGGTCTCATCTAGCTCTAGGGTGCTGGGTTGGTCAGATGGAGTTGGGAGATGCAGGCAGCAGCTAGACCCCAAATACAGATGACAAGCAGAGGTCGCCCCACCTCAATGAGTGTTTCCGTCCACACCTTCTTGTCCATCTTCAGGCTCCGCACCTTGGAGACACCAGCACCCATGCCACGGTGCTCCCCTGCAGACAGAGGGCCAGCTCAGGTCATCTGGGCCCTCTCCTTCACATAAGCACTCACCTTCTCACCCTACCCCCCCAGTACTCACCTAGAATTAGCCAGTGAGAAGCCGCCACAGGACCTAGAGGCGAGGCCTGCAGCTCCGCCACTATACAGCTCCAGAATCCAGTGGCACACCACTGCTCCCTGCACCACAGGACTGGGCCCCGCAATCATACCCTGGGCTCCTGCAGCAGCCCCTCAGCCGGCTCCCTATAGCCAGGCTTGACTCCCTGTGGACCACTCAACACACAGTCCAGCCAGAGTGATCTCTTTAAAATGCAAATTCCCTTGCTTCAAATCCCTGCCATCAGACCCTCCCATGGCTCCCCAGAATTAGATCTAAATTCCCTACCTGCTTCTCCAACCTCACCTTATGCCTCTCTTCCATCCCACTCAGCTACACTCTCCACCCTCTTCTAATCCTCCATGCTTATTCTTGCCTCAGGGCCTTTATTCTCAGTTCTTTCTGCCTATGTTCTCTTCCTTCATCTTCCCAGGGCTGGCCTCCTTCTGACATTCAAATCTCAGCTGACACAATCACCTCCTGAGAGGGCTTACCACAAACACATTCTCTGCCTAGCACTTGTTCTTACCCGATAACTTCTATTGGTTTGTATATGTATATTTATGTATATTTATGTATATATATATATGTATATTTTCTGCCCCTCCCTACTAGAATGTAAGCTGCCTGAGCCCAGGAATCTTGATTGTCTGTTTTAGGGTCTAGCCTCAGAGCTCAGACAAAGCCTGGTACATAGTGAGTGCTTAATAAATATTTGTGGAATGAAAGGGGTGGGGAGTCAGAGCTGGATAGAATGCAACCTTGCTCAGCTACAGGGCCCAAGAAGGACCCCTGCAGCAGGGAGGAGGGCTGGGGGCACTAGGAGTGCCTGGCATTGCCTGGCTCTGGCTTCGGCCTCACCTTCTGCATCTTGTCCATTCCAGTCGCCCTCACCCTCAACAAGCTGATGCCTTCCTAATCTGGTCTCCAATCGAGTCGTCGCTTTCCTGCACCCAGACCTCATAGTGCAAGGCTTCCTGGACATCTGCCCTAGACATCCCATACATAGACTTTGAGGTTTTTCACTGAGCTCAGCAACTTCCCCAAACTGTTTCTCCCCTGGGAACCCCATCTCCAGCCACCCAAAGAGGCCGCCTGGGCATTGTCAGCTCCCAAGGGGGCTAAATCCCCAGAACCTGGCACAATGTCTGGCACATCACAGACCCTCAATAAGTGCTGGTGGAATAGAATGAATTTTGAGCTCTTATCCTCTTCATCTGATCTGTCATTGGGACTTTTACACCATAGATCCTAAACATCTCTCAAATGCTCTCATCGCTTCCCCAGACCAGGCCTCCTCCTCCTCTCTCTTGTGGCTCCAGCAGTAGCCTCCTCGCTAGTCTCCAGTGTCACCCTTCTAACTTGGCTTTCATCAACTAGCCAGAGTCTATTGCACAAACCTGACCACGTCCTTCCCACTGCAGCCTCCTACCCCACTCTGGATGAAACGCTAGCTCCTCCCTTTGCATGCAAAGCCCTGCCCAGTCTGGTCCCTGTCAGCCGCTCCTGCCTGACCTCCTCCCATTCTTCTGATGAGACATGGGCACTGGACCCCTAGAAGCTTGGGATCAAATCCAGACTCACTTACTTGCCATGAATGAGCCATTTTCCCTCTCTGTGCCTCAGTGTCCCCACCCATGACGTGAAAGTTGAATCCTTGCCTTGCAATGTAAGGATGCAGGTTAATCCCAGTGGGAAAGGCTTAGCACACAGATGCACCTTCACAAACAATGATCTCTGACTGTCTTCAGGCTAGCCCCTCCGGCTACACAAACCACCTATGGTCCCAACACACCAGCCTTGTCATGGGACTCAGCCCAGTGCCCCACCCCCTCACACACCTGCACAGCGCTTGCAGATGACAACGCAGAGGTTGATGGAGGCCCAGTCAGGCTGGGCAGCCCCGCAGTCAGCACAGAATCTGTTGGGGGCCACAGCCCAGATGCGCTCAGCCACCTCCGAGGTAGACAGGGCCTCAGCAATGGCTCCCTGCATGGCCTCTAGCCACTGCTCCTTCTCTAGCTCCGATTCGGCTAAGAAGCTGGGGACACAAAAGTGGGAGGGGGGAGGCTGGTGAGAAAGGGCTCAGAGGGGTTTGGGGGCCACATGAAGGGGCACAGCATGAAGTGGGGGGAACAAGGCGTTGAGAGTTTATAGTCAGAGAGGGAGGAATACAGGGTCTGTGGGGAAGGGGAGTGTGGACAAACACAATGACACCTGAGAGCTGGGGGAGCCCAGAGAGGGCTCCGCCCGCCCAGGTAGTAGAAAAGGCTGCTAAGAAGAAATGATCCCTGACTAAGTAAGACTTGACATACTACAAGGGCTTAGCCAGGTAAAGAGGTGAAAGGGCATTCCAGAGAGAGAGAACAGCATGTGCAAAGAGGCAGGATGGCACATGCACATGGGACATTCCAGGACCTGCAAGCAGGATGGGTAGACTGGCAGAGAGGAGGCTGGAAGACGAACAGGGACAAGCCTGTGCCAGGCAGAGGAAGTCAAAGTGCACACAGTGACAATGGAGAAGCAATGGGGGGGAGGCGGAGGGCGGTCAGAGATGTCCTTCTCTCTGGCTCTTTCTTTCCCTGTCACCCCCAAGTTGCATGTATGCAGTTGAGATTTGGCTCTAGCCATAACCCACCACGGCTAAAGAAGACATTGCTACTACATATGTAACAGATGTTATCATCTATTACACCTTCACCAGAGGTGCTGAAGACCTCCCTCATCCACGAAGCTGCCAAGGCCTTAGCCAAGCACTAAGCCTGTCACTGTATATTTGGATCCAACTATATGAGCCTATGGATGTCAGGTTAGTGGAAGTCCTTGAGCTGCACACCAAATCAACCTAATTAAGGTTGATTACAGCAAGAAATCTGGTGAATGGGCAGGCCCCCTGTAAAACTGACAGAGAAAGAAACCTCTGGAAAGTGGTTAGTTGCAGTTGTGTAGTAGTTAAGGATGATGGCAAAGAGTTTCATGCCAAGTTTGTCATTAAAGATTATCTCAAATGTAAGAAATGAACAAATAAAACCTTGGTTTTCTATAAAAAGGAAAAAAAAAAAAGCCCCTCTGGTGGTCACAGGCAGCCAGCCAAAGGGTGAGGAGGCAGATGTGAGACCAGAGGGCCCATGGGCCTAGGGCAAGATGATGAGGCGTACACGGGAGGGATCAGATGGAGGTGAGAGAGCGATGGAGGCAAGAGAGGGGTGGTGATGGGTTTACACAGGAGTGAGTAGGAGAGACAGGGTGACCCCTGAGGAAGCCCAGGAAGAACAGTGAGTTGAGGAGGAAGTTAAAGGGAGGAGATATCCACAGAACTATTAGAGACACAGTCTAGAGCTGAGGAGAAAAACCCTGCTGGAGACAGATCTGAGCTAAGATTAAAGGCGGTGATGATGAGGGGGTGGGGTGCTGAGGCTAGCATCAACTAGGCAGTTACTGCACACCACGTCGAATAACAGTTTTATAAAGACTGCCAGGATCCTACTCACAGAGGTGGAAACTGAGCTACAGAGAGGTCAAGTGATTTGCCCAGGTCACACAAAGACCCAGTGGTAGGTCCAGGACATCACAGAGTGAACTGTGTTCTCCTAAAATTCATAGGTTTAAGCCCTAACCTCAGTGTGAGACAGGGCTTTTAGGAAGGTAATTAAGGTTAAATAATGTCATAAGAGTGAGGCTCTAATCTAAAAGCCTGGAAGGGACACCAGACAGCTCTGTCTTCAGGCGGGCACAGAGGAAAGGCTGTGTGAGGACACAGTGACTAGGTGGCCATCAACAAACCAGGAAGAGAGACCAACCCTGAGAGTACCTTGACCTTGAACTTCCAGCCTCCAGAACTATGAGAAAATAAACTTCTGTTTTTTTAAGCACTCCCCTAGTCTGTGGTATTGCCATGGCAGCTGAGCTAACACACAAGATTTGAACCCAAGTACGACACAGTACTTCAGAGGTGGCAGCAAAAGGCCTGGGAGAAAGCGAGCCTGCCCAGGGAGAGGACAGCGGACAGTCAGGTCACTGAGGGATGGATAAGGTCAGAGGAAACCAAAATAGTAGAGTCTTAGAGGCTCAGGGAGGAGTACCCAGGACCAGCTCCAGCAGACAAGGAGAAAAGAGTAGCCTTTGATCTCAACCAAGTATTGATGACAGATGAACACTTTCAAGGAAGCAGGGCAGGCAGGATGAGTAGGTGGTACACAAAGCCAATATGGGCAACTCTGAGAGCAGTAGGGGTTGGGGACAGCGATGGCCAGAGGGAGGTGTGGTGAAAGTTTGATTTCTTAGAAGGAAGAGATCAGAGCATGTTAGCAAGTAAAGGTAAAAGACCAGCAGGGGTAGGCAGGGCTAAGAGAAGGGAGAAATTCATCCTAGCAGCTTCCCACATATGCAAGACAAAAATAGTGGGAGGGAGTGAGGATGCAGGTGAGCAATGGAGGCTCACCTGAAGAGGCGGTAGGGGGTGGTGAGATCGAAGCTGCGCCGGTCCGCCTCCTTCACGTTGCCCACACTCATGTCAATGAAGGTGATTCCGATGCCCAAATGGTACTCCTGGCAGGCAGGTGGGAAGGGGTGAGGGCAAGGCCTGGGGGTGGGGCTCAAGGCCCGAGAAGTGGCAGAGAGGAGGGGGTGGTGGTACTTTAGGGGCTAGAAATGACTAGAAAGGAGATGAGGGAGAGTTCAGGAATCTGGGAAAAGGTCTATTCAGGAAACAAACCCAGGCTCAAAGACCATGTAGCAATAGGTAGGGAATGATGAGAAGGTAATGCACAGGGGTCAGGCAGGGGATGGTGTCAGAACTAGGAGCAGGAAGAGGGGCCAGCAAAGGGCTAGGCTCCATCAGGGGAAGGAAAAAAGGAAAAAGGCAGGGCTAAGAGACCAGGTAAACATGGGGCAGAGCTGAGGGACCAGGTGGGCATGGGGTCGAGTTGAGGGACCAGGTGGACAAGGGAGAGACTGAGGAACCAGGGAGGGCATGGAGCAGGGGAGGGTTTAGTAGCCTGGCTGACCACTTCGCACCTCCAGATTCTTGTAAAGCTGCACTTTGTCCCCGACTACAGCCACATACAGTTTATTCTTGAAGCCTCGTAGCTCTAGGCTGCCAGCACGGTCAGGTGGCTCTGAGTCTCGAATACCCAACAGAGAAGCACCAGACAGCTGGGCACGGGCACGCTGCTCAGCCACTGCCTGCTGTAGGGCCTGCATCCACTCCTTCCGCTCCACTGTGGGCCAAGGGGAAGGAGTAAGCCTAAATTCAGCCTGGCAGTCTCCCGCTCCCGCTCCATAGAACAAGAAAGCCCGCCCAGACCAGCCCACCTATCTCTGACTATCTGAGTTCTCTGACTTGGACAACCTCAGGCTCCAATCCCGGGTATGCCCCTTGAACTAGCCACTTCACCTATCTGAGCCTGTTTCTCCTGTAGATGAAATTTGGTTCTGAGGACCCAGTAGGTATCTTAAGCACAGAGCCAGCCAGAGGGTACCTCTTCCCCTCCCCCACCTCACAAAAGGTCAACTTCTCTCTGGATTTGATGTGGGGGAAGCAGATATGCCCTGGTTCTCCTCCCTGCTCTTATCAAGCCAAACTGCTAGTCTTCTTCCTGTCCCACTCCCCACCATCACTCTCTGCCCGGAAGGCAAAGGTCCGGTTGTTAGTGATCACTTCAAACTTCTGGTCCCCAATGGCAGCCACACGAGAGATACAGGCCACAGAGATAAAGCGTTTAGAGTAGGCATCCTGGGGAAGAGAGAAGAGCTGAACTGTGGGGGGTACCCAGAGGCCCAGCCCCTCCCTGACTCCCTCGGCCTCAGTTGAAATGAAGGCTGCAGCCCTATCTCTCACAGGTGGTGAAGGACAGCCCTGTCACTGACCCTGACCACAGCTCATGGCTGGCCTATGGACCAGAAGTCCATGGTTCAAGGAGTCAGACTGGAGATCTGGTGAGGACTCGCATGGGGAGGAATTCTGCCTGGGTCCAGTGTGAAGGTTCAACCTAGGGCCAGGCTGGAGCAGAGGTCACAGCAAGGATCAACACAGGCCTTACCTTGTTACTATCAAAGTATCGCAGGTAATTGGCATCCAGTCTCACCCAACGCTTCTGATAGATATAAGATCTGGAAAGACAGAGGTGGAGGGACAACAGAGCAAAGGACTGGAGATTAGGGGAGAGGCTTCAGGATTACCCCAGCTCCCTCTGGCCACCACATACAAAGTTAAAAATAGCCAGGTCCCAAATGGTCACTGAGAAGATGGACTTTATCTACAGTAAGAGTGGTTGAAATTGGACTCAGAGTAGGACTTCCCAATATTAAGGGTAATAAAACATAGGTTTTGTGGGGATCATCAGCGGTTACAGTCTGCAGGGAGGGAGACCTGCTCAAATAACCTTGACTCCTCTGGTTTACAGATCCATGATACCAGTATATTAGAGCACTGGGCACCAGATGCAGAGCACCAGCAGGACCTAACAGGCTTCACTCACCCCTGCGGTGGGTTCTTATCCAGCCAGCCAGCCTTGATGACGGGTGTGATGGGGGTGGGACCCCCTGGCAGTCCATCCATGGGGTGGGGTTGGAGCTGGGGGATCAGGAGGCTGCTGGGCAAGGATGAGCTCAGGCTAGTGGTGTGCCATCCACCACTGGAAGAGAAGAGGGAATGAGTGGGACCGGGATGGGGGCTCTGGTGGGATGGGGACTGAGGAGATATAGGGGATGGGCAGGGCTTGGAGAAGGAGCGGGGCTGGATAGGAGAACCACCAGAGAGAGGTGGACACTCACTTGGGGACACCCTCATAGGCATGGTCATCCTCATCTTCATCCTCTTGGTTGTCCAACAGTTCTTCCTCCTCACTCAGCAGACTGGCCACACGCACGGCACGTGGGACTTGGCTCACTGGGGGCTTCTCCTGCACCCCAAGATCCACTCAGCATCATGCTTCCCTTCAAGCCCCAGATAACACCCACCCAGAGGCTGACACACTCCCCATTGTCCACTTCATCCTAGACCTA